TGTCTTTCACAAGCCAATGACTTTTCCTCTTCCTTGAAACACTCTCGGGGTTACCCTGAATCTGCATCTCCCGAATTGCCATTATTAAAATAACTAAGCCCTCTTGTGATGTGCAGCCCAATCCGGGGCAGCAAAGGCAAAGGTCTCCCCTTCCTGCTCCCCTCCGCCACCGCCCCCCCCAGCCCCGTGGACACAAGATTCCCGCGCCGCTGGCCTCACCTCATCCTTTGACTCTGGACCTGGAGAGGTGCCCGCTGACAACACAGGGCGCAAATACCCCGAAGGAGCGCTCTTCTGTCTGACATTTTCCCGGGCTCCTGGGAGATGGGGTATGTCACCAAATGCCCCAAGGTTACGCGGACAAGGTAAGGACGCCGCCCCCCGCCCTGGGAGCGCTCAGGTCCCTGCGTTTGTCAATCGGAGGAGGTGGTCAGGGGTGAGTCATCCTGTGGTGGACAGGGCGGGCGTTGTGAGCTTGCGGGGAGAGGAGGGTGCCCACACTCCGCCCCTGCCACGTGTCTGATGTCTTGGTTTGTTGCTTGTTTTCTGTTTGGGGCTGGGAGTTATTAACGGTGTGGTATGATGGGGCCGGGGCAGAGGCACTTAAGTGTCCATCGATGGTGAATGGATAAAGAAAACATAATCTAACTCAACCTTCAAAAAGAAGGAAAGCCTGCCATTTGCAACAATGTGGAACGGCCTCCTTGAGGGTTGGTGCTAAGTGTGATACACCAGACGCAGGCAAACACTGCGGGGTCCTACCTATAGCACCACCACCCTCGGACACGCGCCTTCATGAACACTTCCAGTTGTCCCTAAACCCAAAGGCTGGGCTGAGGTTAGAAACCCTGGCAGCCAGGGGCAGGTAGAGCTTGGGTTTCCTTTACTTCAGTGGTGAGAGGCAGGCCATTTCTTCCTCCAAATCTTGCACAAATGGAAAGACCTGGCAACGTCTGCTGTAGCTTCTCTACTATAAGGTGAGTTACAAAATCCACTACCAGCCCTTTCCTCTCCCATTAGTCTAAGAAAAATCTGGAAGGTACATACACTTTAATCTCTTCCTCCACAGATATGTGTGTATATATAAATATACAGTAATTTCATTTTCTATGATACTCTTAATGAAAACACTATTTTTACAAAATGAGCAGACTGATTTCCATTTTTCCAAAATAAGATATTTTATACACATCATATACATTATTCCGTGTATATATTCTGTATGTAAAGTGTTATATACAGAATTCTCCATACAGAATTTTCTGAACATAAAATTATAATATGGTGGTACTTGGTATGATACCCTCCCTTCTGAATTTTCAAGAGAATTTTACATCATTATTGAGAACATCCTATACAGTGTCTTGCAGGCTTCCACAGTTTGCAATAAATATACTCAATATGAACAAATTCATTTTAAGAATTTTGAAGTGATTATAGCGTCACTGCTTGGTAGAGACAAAAGTGAAACTTCAGCAAGAGGATAAACTTCTCCTAGAGCCACTGTTAGACTTGCTACTTCTGTCGTTATTATTATATCCGTTACTGAAATATAGTTGATTTACAATATCATGTTAGTTTCAGGTGTACAGCCCAGTAGTGCAGTTTTATGTATATTGAGTATAGTCCCCTGTGCCATACAGTAAGTAGGTCCTTGTTAGTTATCTATTTTATATACAGTATAGTAGTATGTATATGTTAATCCCAACCTCCTAATTTATCTCTCCCCCCCTTTCCCCTTTCCCCTTTGGTGATCATAAGTTTGTTTTCTATGTCTGTGACCCTCTTTCTGTTTTGGAAATAAATTCATTTGTATGTTTTTTTAGATTCCACATATAAGCGATATCATATGATGTTTGTCTTTGTCTGGCTTACTTCACTTAGTATGATAATCTCTAGGTCCATCCATGTTGCTGCCAATGGCACTATTTTATTCCTTTTTATGGCTGAGTAATATTCTAGTGTGTGTGTGTGTGTGTGTGTGTGTGTGTGTGTGTGTGTGTGTATACACACCACATCTTTATCCATTCATCTGTCAATGGACATTTAGGTTGCTTCCATGTCTTGGCTATTGTAAATAATGCTGTAATGAACATTGGGGTGTATATATCTTCCCAAATTATGGTTTTCTCCAGATATATGCCCAGGAGCCTGATTGCAGGATCATACGGTAGCTCTATTTTTAGTTTTATAAGGAACCTCCATACCGTTCTCCATATTGGCTGAACAATTACGTTCCCACCAACAGTGTAGGAGGGTTCCCTTTTCTCCACACCCTCTTCAGCATTTGTTTTTTGTAGACTTTTTAATGACGGCCATTCTGACCCCTGTGAGGTGGTATCTCATTGTAGTTTTGATTTGCATTTCTCTAATAATTAGCGATTTTGAGCATCTTTCGATGTGACTTTTGGCCATCTGTATGTCTTCTTTGGAGAAATGTCTATTTAGATCTTCTGCCTACTTTTTTTTATTGGGTTGTTCCACTTCTTATCATTATTGAGACTATGGTATTGTGCCCAGAAGATTCTCAAGCATTAAAATGAAAGGTAGAAAGACCTTGTCAGCCACAAAGCTGTTGATACTGAACAGCCTTATTGATTCCAAATCCCAACCAACTGTAACGAGACTCCAAAGAGTAAAGCTTGTTTCCAGTTTATTTATTCTTTAGCTAACCCTTTGAAACTCTCCATGAGAAGCTATTAATTGCATTTTTTCCCATTTTGATAGAATAGTTGAAACACCTATGGTTCATTACAAAGCAGTAATTGAATGAGTGGTTTAAAGGAAACTATGGACCCTCTAAATACATTGATCTAAGTGTACTTCAGCTGGATTCTAAACAGCCAGGAGTTCTTTTTCAAGTTATCGGTTTTCTAGGGTATGGCTGAAGTTGCAGGTGCCGAATAAATGCCACGTATACATGCACCCACTCACACACATGCACACACACATGCTCACACACACATTTTTGTGGTTGACTTAAATTCTTCCTTCAGAATATGAGAAGCTAGAATAAATGACTGCACATAAATACATTCGTTTTAAATTATGAACTAGCTATAATTAATGTGAGAGCATTGTGTGGTGAATTGAATAAAAACCTTATTCTGTTGGAGTTACATTTTTCTCCTTTATAAGAAATCAAGGCATCATAAATCTGGAGGGTACTTAATATTTCCTCTTTAAAATATATTTCTATTCAAGGAATGAAACATGATGTTGGAAATCTTGTGTTTTGGTCCACGTTGGGATCTTCCGAATCCAGATATATGTTAGAGGGGGTGGGAGTGAAGATTATTTTTGTTTAACTTCCCATCTTCCATCCCCTAGGTAACCTGTAGAGAGAAAGAATGCGTTTCTCTAGAGGGAGAGTTCCATGAGAGCAAAGCAAAGAAAGTATCAGGAAGAAATCATAAGTGCTAAAATTGGCTTATAAAAGATATATTTAAAGGCGGATTTTTACAAGATTCATATTTTATGGTAGTATTTTTTTTTTTTCTTGCGTTATGCGGGCCTCTCACTGTTGTGGCCTCTCCCATTTGCGGAGCACAGGTTCCGGACGCGCAGGCTCAGCGGCCATGGCTCACGGGCCCAGCCGCTCCGCGGCATGTGGGATCTTCCCGAAACGGGGCACGAACCCGCGTCTCCTGCATCGGCAGGCGGACTCTCAAGCACTGCGCCACCAGGGAAGCCCTATGGTAGTTTTTTTTTAAAAAAAACTGTGCATTACGATAGCAGTCTTTGAACTTTTTTGTTCATTGACTCCCTAGAATTTTGTATTAGTATGTATTCCTTCACACATTTTGTACTGATAGTTCAAAGTTTTAATTATAAGTGTAAATAGTTACAAATGATGCATTTTTGGCATTTAGTATTTACATTTAAAAAACAGAACTGTGACATCACTCTTTCAAATGTATCGAATGGTATTTAAATTCCATGATTCGATACCCAGTCATCCGTTTTTAAAAATACATAAGGAAGCTCTTTTTCAATATTTGAAAATTTGCCTTTTTGCTAAAGTATAATTTTCGAGAGGTAAAACAACTCTCGTGAAGATACATAATAAAGATGGGCCAAAAATTTTATTCAACTTATTAAGAGGGAAGATACAGTGAGTCAGATATTGAGATCAGCTCAAAGAGTATTGCAGGACCGAGGTATTTAGAGGCGATTTAACATAGGAATGTTAGGGTAAGACTGCTGGGTTATACACAAAACTGGCTAACAGCCTATAGGACAATAAAGTATATCCTTCAAGGTTGTCAGCTGTTGAGAGTGGTGATCTAGCCGGACACTCAAGGCCCACATGCTATTGTGGCAACAGGCACTGGCCACCAGCTTCATTCACCAAAGGGGGCACCTGCAGGGACCGGGTGAGCAGGGGCGCCGCCGGACGGAGGAGGGAAGGCCGGTCAGCCCCGCGCGGCGTCCAGGTTGCGCACTGCGCTAAGGAGGTGGGCCGGGCTCCGGTGCGATGAGTCCCAGGGGTGTGCGGCAAGGCCCTCGGTGCCCCGCACCGGGATCTCAGGGAAGTCCCTACGGGCGGGGGCACACCGGCACTTCTTACTAGAAAGCGCTGCGGCTCATGCGCGCTCAGCAGAGTCTGGCCAGCGGCGCATGCGCACACGCACCCGGCCCAGCGCGGTACCCTTCGGCCGCCGCTCTTGCCCTCGCCGCGCGGTGACGTCACCGGTGGGCGACGCGCGAGGAGCCGGGCCTCCGAACGCCACCGCCTCCCGCTCGCGCCCTCGCCGCTGGTGACGTCACTGGCCCCCGCCGCGCGGAGGGCGGGGCCTCGGGTGCCTCCGCCTCCCGCACCGCACCGTCGCTGACGGTGTTGTCATCGGGCCCCGACACGTGGTGACGCCATCAGGCCTCGACGCACGGGGAAGGGGTAGGGTGCGCGGGCGGAGCTTCAGCGGGGTCGAAGCTGAGAGGAGCGGGCGGGGAAAGGCGACGAACTGAGGGGGATCGGGGAGGGGTGGGAAGGTGGCGGCCAGAACATGGCGGAACAGATCCCTCTGTACCCGGTGCGCAGCGCGGCGGCCGCGGCCAACTGCAAACGTGCGGCCTACTTCAGCGCGGCGGGGCCCGGGCCAGGGGCAGAGCGGTCCAGCAGGTAACGACGGTGCCTCCCCACCCTTCCGCCCAGGCGCCCCTCCCCGCCCGGCCCGGTGGGGTCCGCCCAGGGCGGCCTGCTCCGGAGCCCCGCGGGTGCGCCTGACCCGGGGACGGTGTCCACGGTCCGGGAGGTGCCCGGGCGCTGCCACGACCCTGGTGTGCCCCGGCGCCGGGCTGAGCGCAGAGGAGGAAGAGCCTCTGGTTCGGGGGGCTGCTCCCTCAAGTAGCACTGGCACCGCAGGTCGCACGGCACCGATCACGCAGTTGTTAGTTTGCGAGACCCGTACTGTGTCACCAGAGAAATCGCGAAGATGGCAGATACAACTTCCAGTTAGTTTTAGAAATTCAAATCTTGTTGGGAATCACTTTCACAAGTGTAAAGAGCAAGTGAAGACATTTCAGTTTGTTTACTAAGTGCACGTTTTGCTTGAACGTGTACATACAAAGTACTTTGTGTTGACAGGAATTTTTGCTCTTAAGAATGGGAAACGGAGATTCAGAAAGGTTAAATTGTTACAGTTAGTAAGAGGTAGAATTAAACAGTGCAGACCTTTGATTTAAAATGGGAGTCTCATAGCCTAGTTGGTTTTAGTTCGTAACTTATTTCTTACCCCAAAGGGAAGAATACTACACTTATAAATGATAGAGTGGTTAGAAAAAGAAACTTATAGGAAGGGGAGATAATGCTTTTCAGAGCTGTTAAAATTTTATTCCTGAGCAGTTGTAGAAGCAATCAGTCTTTAGTACATAGAGTGAAAAAGTACAGGTTTCAATATCCAGTTGCTTCAGGATTCCAATTTTAGAATAGTTTTTGGTTTGGGCTCTTTGAGAGGCTGTAACATGTAGTCAAAAGAGGACCTATTATGATGCTACAGAGCTGAATTGAATCTTGGTTCATTTCCGTATTAGCTAGCTGTTTGATCTTAGGTAACCATAGGCCCTAATTTCCTCTGCTGTAAAATGGGGGGGGGGCAGTATCTTTCCTCGTAGAATTGTTGGGGGTTACAGGAGAAGTTAGTAAGGTGCCCATGTTTAGTGTTTGGCCCTGAAGTGGAGAAGTGTCGTGTCCTTTCCTCCCTGATGTTACCTGGAAGAGTAATTGCGCAGGTAATCTTCTAAGTGGTTGATTTTAGCAGATGTTATTTGAAAACGTGCCACCTATTTCACAGTCGGTTTCCATCGAAGTTCACACCTGTGAGTTTTTGCCTTATATATTTTAAGGCTCAGTCATTCGGTAAATATACATTTAGGATCTCTGTGTCTTCAGGGTGGATACTTCTTTTATTGTCAGGTAATATTTCTCTTTTTGTCTCTGGCAATTTGTTTTTTACCCTGGAGTCTACTTTAGTAGACTTGTGTAGCCACATCTGCTTTTTGTGGATAAATGTTTGCATGGTGTTAGCATTCAACCTATCTTAAGTTGTTGAATTTGAAGTGAGTTTCTGTTGGGTCATGTTTCTCTATTATTCAATCCGTCAATCTCTGTCTTTTGATTGGTATATTTAGGCCATTACATTTCAGGTAATTATTGATACATTAGAGTTTTTTATTAAGTTTTTTTTTTTTTTTTTTTGATGTGGACCATTTTTAAAGTCTGTATTGAATTTGTTACCGTACTGCTTCTGTTTTATGTTTTGGTTTTTCGGCCCTGAGGCATGTAGGATCTTGGCTCCTGACCAGCGATCGAGCCCATACCCCCTGCATTGGAAGGCAAAGTCTTAACCACTGGACCACCAAGGAAGCAAGGAAGTCCCTGTTACATTAGAGTTTAAGTGTGCCACTTTATTAATCTGTTTTCTGTTTCTTTGGATTCTCATTCTTCTGTTTCTCTTCTTACTTTCCTTTTACTCGAATGCTCTTTTGATATCGCTACAGTGTTTTTTGGTGTAGGTCTTTGTATAGTTTTTATAGTGTTTGCTCTGGGTATTACAGTATATGTATGTGACATCACCATAGTGTATTGGTATCAGTATTTTACTATGTGGAGTGATTTGTGGAAAACTCATTTTGGTTCCTTTACCTCCCTTCTCCCCCCTGCAATTTAAATATCATGTCCTGAGTATCAGATGGTGTTATACTTTTTGTTTAAATCATCAAATATGGTTTATAAAACTTGTGACGATAAGGATAGGTTATTGTATGTACCCATATTTTGGCTCTTTTTGTTCTTCCTTCCTGATGTTCCAGGATTCTCTCTTTTTTCATTTCCTTTCTATTTCAAGACCTTCCTATAGCCCGTCTTGAGATTTCGTCTTAGAAGTTCTTTATTTCTCCTTTATTCCTGAAAGATAGTTTTATTGGATGTAGAATTCCTGGTTCACTTCTTTTCTTAGTACTTGGAAACTTGTTCCACTTCCTTCCAGCCTTCATAGTTTCTGCTTAGAAGTCCACTGTCATTCAAATTGGTGTTCCCTGTAGGTAAGGCATCATTTATGTCTGGCTGCTTTCACGTTTTGATGTATGTTGGTATGATTTCTTTGGGTTTAACTTGTTGGGTAGTCACTGAGCTTCTTGAATCTGTTGTATTTTGTTTCCCCAAATTTAGGGAGTTTTTAGCCATTATTTCTTCAAGTCCTCTTTCATTTCCACCCCTTTCTCCTCTTCTTTCTGGACTCCAGTGATACAAATGCTGGATCTTTTGTTAGTTTTACGTAATTCCTTTAGGCTCTTTTTTTCCCCCGGTTTCTTTTCTGTGTTGTTCAGACTGCGTAAATTCTATTTACTTGTTCTCAAGTTCCCTAATTCTGTCCTCTGTCATTTTCACTCTACTATAGATCCCATCCAGTGGGGTTTTGTTTCTACTATTGTATTTTTCAGTTTTATAATTTCTCTTTGTTTCAAGAGAATTTGAAATTCTCAAGTATGTTGAAGCATACTTATGTTCGGTGCTTGAAATGCTTGTTACATAATTCCAGTATCTGAGTTAATCTTAGTTTTGGTGTCACTTGATTGTCTTTTCTAATTCACACTGTCAGTGTTTTGGTTCTTTGTATGATGGATGGTTTTTGATTGTTTCCTGGATATTTCATCTATTAGGAGAATGTGGGCCCTATTTGTATCTTTTATTTTAGCAGATGATCACCCTGTTTAGATTTAGCACATAGGTCCTGGCCTACCTTTGTCGGCTATGGTTCCAATGACAGTTTAATTCTCAGGGTTGTGATTTTTGGTGTGCTTGGTTTATGTGGTGCTACTGGAGCTCTTACTTGTCTCTACTTACGCTGCTGAGGAAAAGAAGGGATTTTCCCTAGGCCCAGTGTCTTGGTGAGAGGTGGTTGTGTCATCCCATGTGGATGGTGAGGCTGTGTTGGCTGGGCAGTGGCTGTGGATGTACCCCCTCCATACGTGCCCCCTGACTTCCCTGGTGTGTCTTGGTAGGAGAGGAGACTCAGCACCACTGTGGCCAGGAGGCTTTCTGTGCCCAAATCCTTTTTTCTGGTGCCCTTGGCTGCTCTGGCGTCTTGGGGAAGAGGAGAGGCCATGGATAGAAGCCATTTCCTGAGCTAGCTGCTTCAGTCGTGGGGTTGCACTTGTTGGTGCTGCTGGCCGCCCCCCAGCCCGCTGAGAGAGGGGTGCCTCAGGCTCATGGGAACACGGAGGCTTCCTGAGGCCTCTAACCTCTTGTTGTGGCAGGGACCCTAACTGGTGCCACCTGGATGCTCTCGTGTCCCAGGGTGGGATAGGGGAGTCTCAGGCCCGTGGGGAAGGATGCCAATTCCCATGGCTACTTGTCAATCTTATCTTGCTGGTGGTGGTGGACTCTTGTTCTGTCAGGGGAGTAATGGCCTTCCTGGGCTGCCTTTTCTTGCTAGGTTGGGAGTTAGGCAGTGCTGGGCCTGTGTCTTTCCTTTTGTCCAGTGGGGGCATGTAAGACGTCCTGCCACTGTGTTCCTCCAGTTCCACATCCCAGGTCAGCCCAGCTCTCTTCCTCTCACTGCTGCCTTCTTCCCACCTTCCAGAGCTCTCCTGCGGTTGGCTCTTGCTTTATTTCCAAGGTTTATAGTTGTACTTAGGTGGGAGGAGCAGAGGGAGAAATGGGTTGTGACTGGAAGTTGTGCTTCTGCATTATTTTGTGAAGTTTGCCTTTGCTTGTATTTTATCATGGTGACATTTACGTAAAGTTTAAAAAGTTAATTGGTGGTAAAAGGCCTATGGTAAGATACCGTGGCTCTCTACCCCTCATCTTCATTCTCCCTTACCCCAGCCTCTCATCCCACAGGCAGTTACTTTGGACTCTTCTAGCTGTTTCTTCTGGCACTTACACATCTCCATTATTTCAGTGGCATCATTCCTGACTTTGTCAGCATTGGAAATGACTATTTCTAAAGGCTTCCTTGATCTCAACCCCAGCCAGGATAAAATGGGATGCTCCTGCCAGGCTCCTGTAGGACTCTGTTTCCCCTCATACCACAGATTGCACTTGACTATAACTGCTTCTCTTCTCATTAGACTTTAAATTCCATGAATAGAGTGGCAGTGATGGTCAGATTTTACCCCTGTTACCTGGCCCCACGAGATGAGTAGGAAAATGTTCCCTTCTCTTTTACTTTCTGGTCCCGTGAGATGCGTAGGGAAATGTTCCCTTCTCTTTTACTTTCTGGAAGACATTGTGTAAAGTTGGTGTTACTTCTTTAAATATTTGCTATTTTCCAGTGAAACCATCTGGACCTGGAGATTTCTTTTTAGGGTGTTTTAATTTAAAATTCAGTTTCTTTAATAGTTATTGAGCTATTCAAATGACCTATTTCATATTTGGTGAGTTTTGATAGTTTGTGCCCCATGACCAATTGGTTTGTTTCAGGTAAGTTGCCATATTTATGTGTGTAGAGTTGTTTGTATTTCCCTTTTGATGTTGTTTCATTCAGGTGTTGGTGGTTTGTGCCTTCACTTCTATTTGTTGGTGATTCCTGCTAGAGGTTTGATCTTTTCAAAGATCCATCTTTATTTTACTTATTTTTTCTATCGTTTTCTTTTTTTCAACTTCATTAATTTCTGCTC